CCAGCCCATCCCCTGCACAGCTGAGAAGTGGAGGTGCCTCCCTGCTGCAGGTGGGTCGCAGATACGCGGCCGCATTGGCCTGGCTGCTGCGGGACGCCGAGAGGCTGCAGGAGCTGGCGCTGGCGCCGTGTCACGAATGGTTGTCGGACGAGGATCTGGTGCCGGTGCTGGCGCGGAATCCGCAGCTGCGGAGTGTGGCGCTGGCCGGCTGCGGGCAATTGAGCCGCCGCACGCTGGGGGCGCTGGCCGAGGGCTGCCCCCGGCTGCAGCGCCTATCGCTGGCACATTGTGACTGGGTAGACGGGCTGGCGCTGCGGGGTCTCGCCGACCGCTGTCCGGCCCTTGAGGAGCTGGACCTCACCGCCTGCCGTCAGCTCAAGGATGAGGCCATCGTGTACCTGGCGCAGAGGCGCGGCGCAGGGCTCCGAAGCCTCTCTCTGGCGGTCAACGCCAATGTGGGGGACGCTGCCGTCCAGGAGTTGGCTCGAAACTGCCCAGAACTCGAGCACCTCGACCTGACCGGCTGCCTCCGCGTTGGAAGCGACGGTGTCAGGTGCCTGGGCCTGGGATCAGTGGGATGGGAGGAGGGCAATCACTTAGCCTCTAGGAGTAGGGATGGGCAGTGATCAAAAGGCAGAACTGGGGTTTCTGCTACCACAGCACCCCCATTCTGAACAGGAAAGGCCTCTGGGATTGCCTCGACCGGAGAGCCCACAGTTGAGAAACTTTATTGAACCAGTACTTACACATTGGCAGTTTTCACCTACATAGATTTCTGGCTTTTCTTCAACCAGGGGAGTTGAGGAGCAGTAACCCTTTTAAGAGACAGGAAGTCTCCAGTTCATGGAGGCATTAGGTATATGACCCCGATCCAGGCCCCCTTCCTTGTGTATGGAAGCAAAAAGTATGCCCCGAGATAGTGGGATACATAGGGGCTTTGCTGGCTTCCCCTACCCTGGGTGTAGCTCTTTGGCGCCCTCAGCCTCACCCCACACCTCCCCTAGGACTTTGGCGGAATACTGCCCTGCGCTGCGCTCGCTCCGAGTGCGGCACTGCCACCATGTGGCGGAGCCCAGCCTGAGCCGCCTGCGGAAGCGCGGCGTGGACATCGACGTGGAACCGCCGCTGCATCAGGCCCTGGTGCTGCTGCAGGACATGGCAGGCTTTGCGCCCTTTGTCAACCTGCAGGTCTGACCCACCCACTGATGAGGCACAGCTGGACTGTGTGTCCGGGCCTGATATGAACTGTAGGAAACTGGACTGTGTGGGCCTCTGGTAAGAGGCCAATGCCCTACCCCACCCTGGAGCTTCAAATAAAGAGCTTTTTACCCCGTCCTGCCTGGCGCTGCCCTGTTGGAGAAAGGGGACAGACACAGTCCCCCAGCACCCCAGCTCTGGGGCAGAAATGATCAGAGTGCACTCATCTCCTTGGGGCTACCTTTACTGTGCCCATGGGCAGCTCTGAGAAGTTAACATGGTGGAGAAAGGAGGTAAGAGAAGATGTAGAGAAGGGGTCAGGAGTTAGAGTGGGCCCTGTGTGGTGGTGTAGGGCTTCTGCATCCCTCTGGGATCTGAGCCTAGAAGGCTGTAGCGGAGTCTGGTGAACGGCTCAGTGGAAGCGGTATTTTCTGGCCGGCTTGAGGTTGATGTATGTGGCCTTCATCTCCTCGGCCTCAGGGTTCCGCACATCTTTGAATCGCTCCCCCTTGGTGCTCACTACCTGGTTGTCGATGTATCGGATCAGCTTCTTGGGGGCCTGTCAGGCAATCAGTCAGTGAGTAGCAGAAGCCAGGAGACAGTCTCACCTGCTCCACACCCCCTGCAGCCCCCGCTCTCACCTCCTTGGGAGCCATGGGCCGGTGAATCTTCTGATCCTCTGCACTATCCACCATCATGTACCTGCCAAAAACTGGTTGGGTGAAGCTCCTGCCACCTGGAAAACCCTTTAAAAGCCCAGCCCAGCCCAGTCCAGACTCACTTCTGCAGGATGAAGGACTTCAGCTCATCCTTTCGGGGGCCTCTGAGGCGCCTGGATAGGTCCTGCAGAGGGGAAAGCCTGGTCTAGACCCTAGGTCACCAGTAAGAGAAGTGTATGTGATAGGCCAGGGGTGGGGGCTTAACACTGAGGAGGAATGTAGCTGGGGCTACATGGGTTAGGGAGGGAATGGCAGAGGATACCTGGTTGGGGCCATCCCAGGCTGGAGGCCCCTCCTTCCCCTCTACCAGCATCTGCACAGCTTCTTCCAGGTCCCCCCGAGCTTTGGCCAGCACCCACTGGGCCTGCTCCATCGAACAGGTCGGGAACACCTCCAGGAGTACATCCACCCCTGACAGCAGCTCCTCCTCAGCACTGGCTGCCTATGGGCATAAATGTTGACAAAAGGCAGTACTTCCTCCTTTTCTGCCCCTAACTCCCTCCTTGGTACCCTCCTCTACCAACCTCATCTTGAGTATCCCCAGCAGCAGGAGAAGCCCTAGTCTCTTCTTTGAGCTGTTCAGGCCTCTGCAGGGGCTCTGGGGAGATGGGTACGTGACCTTGGACCTCAGAACTCTGTGGTTGCAGGTTCTCTTAAAGAGACAGAGAACACCAGGTTTGCCAGTGCTTTGGGGATAAGGGTTATAAGTCATCCAAGTGCCTGATCCCCAGACTCACCTTTGTTCCTGGCACCACTCAACTGCCCTGAGAGCTTCTGCAGCATGTCCCCTATTGTACCCCTGAAAAGACAATGAGGGTGGTAAGAAGGAAGACAACTCTGCCTACCCTCCACAATCAGCTAGCACCCCTCCTCTTGGCCCCAGGCAGACCCCACCTTGGGATATGGGCGAAGCCAGGCACATAGGCCTCCATCATCTCAGTGAAAGCCTCCATATCGAAGTTCTCCTCTGATGGACCTGAGGGGCCCAAATCCTCCAGGACCCCGAGCACATAGGAGAAGATGACCTCATCCAAGCCGCTGCAGGAAGGGGACAAGTCAACCGTGGGTAAAGCACCGGATACCTCCCGCACTCCCACCTAGCTCAAGGCTCCAGCCCTCGCCTTCATGGGGCCCATGAGCCAGACCTCAAGCCTTGAGGCCAGAGAATATTCCACCCTCCCTCAGAGCTCTGGTTTCCCATTTGTTCAACAAATGGGACAAGGACAGGATAAGAAGTAAAGCCATACTGGCAAATCATACTCAGCCCTCCCCCACCCCAGGAATAGGGCCAAGTGTTCCCATCCCAGTCTTTCCATTGGCCATGGCCCAGATCCTGCCAGGCAGCTCCAACCCTGGCCCTAGCACGATTCTTCTAGGAGAGCTGCTTCTACCTGAGGTCAGCCTCTGGGAGGTGCGTCTGGACAAAGGCAAGGAGGGCTGCACTGACGATCCTCTCCAGCTCCATTCTCTCTCCTCTTCTGAAAGGACACAGATGTCGGTTTATCAGGCCCTCTTCTGCCTGCCCCTACCCACTAGGCCCAGGGGCAGTCAGCTCCTCCCTCCTGCCCTGTGGAAACCATTTGTTAATGTTGCCCATAGCTTCCAGCTCTCCAACCCTCCCCCGCACCCCCAAGCAGAGCCAAGCCCTCTCCCTGCCCATGTCTCCACCTCCTCCAGCCTGAGACAGGGCAGGGTACTGTGGCAGGGGAAGGTTCCAGAGTGGCAGTGCCCCTCACCCCTCCTGATGACCTCTCTCCATCTCCCCACCCCATGCCCTAGCAGCAGGCCCAGACACTGTGTCAAGAAGCCAAGGTCTTGGGGTCACATGCCTCCTGGCTTAGGAATCCCATCACTGAGAGGGCCACTTAGCCCCCAAGTCTAACCACAAGGGGCCCATTGTCCAGCCCCCCAAGGAGCAGGCTTAAGAACTGAGCACAGCCCTCCCCCCCCCCCAAGAATGGCCACCCACCTTCTGGCACAAAGGGGCTTTTCTGGCTCCAGGGCCCAGATAGAAGGGGTAGTCTTCCATGAATTCTCTTCCCGACCAATCCTTGCCCTTTTAGTAGCTTGGGACTATCTACAAAGGACTTTCCATCTTCCTTTCCAAGGGCCTATGGAGCCCTACAAGATCTGGGCCTTTTGCCTACCTTCTCCAACCTTTCCATTTCTTCCTCACTCCACTCCTGCCTCACTAGCCTCCTTGCTGTTCCTCAAACTTGCCCGGCTTCTTTCTCTCTCCTTCAGATATCCACATGGCTCATTCCCTCACCTCCTCCAGGGCTCTGCTCAAATGTTGCCTCTTCAGAGAGACATTCCCTGACTAACCTACCGAAATAGGTATTCCTCATACTCCTTAGTCCCTTACCCTGCTTTATTTTCTATATAGCTTTTATTACAGCTTAATGTTACTTTATGTTTATTTGCCTATAAACATAAAATAACCTACCTCATAGAACAGTGATGGCGAGCCTATGACATGCGTGTCAGAGGTGACACGCGAACTCATTTTTTTGGTTGATTTTTCTTTGTTAAATGGCATTTAAATATATAAAATAAATATCAAAAATATAAGTCTTTGTTTTACTATGGTTGCAAATATCAAAAAATTTCTATATGTGACACGGCACCAGAGTTAAGTTAGGGTTTTTCAAAATGCTGACACGCCGAGCTCAAAAGGTTCGCCATCACTGTCATAGAACGTACGTTTCAAGAAGAGGGAGGAGGGGAGGACTTTGTCTTATTCGTTGGTATAATCCTAACACCTAGAAAAATGCCTGCACATAGTCGGTGCTCAATAAATACTTATCGACTTATTTCATTCCCACCCACATGTGCATGACTCCCAAGTCTGTAGTTGGGAGTCAGGAACACATAGATGGGAATGAATGGCCCCAGACACAGAGGTCCAAATGTCAGCCCTCCATCCCATTCAGAAGACTCAGAGGCACCTTAAATTCTACCCACTCTGAACTCACTACATCCTCCCAATATGTGTACATTCCCTCTCCAAATATGCACCTTCTCCTGTTTCACCAGCTGATACAGCAACTCATTCACTCAGCTGCCAAACCTGAAACTTGGGGCTTATCCTTGATCCCTCCCTCTCTCAGTCCTGCCTGTGTACTCAACCAATACCAAGTCCTGTCCATTCTATTCCCTTATTCGTTTCCATTCTATCCACTTCTCCCCAACTTGTCTGGCTTCTGCTCCGATATCTCAACATTTCTTAGGCTAGGTCATGAGTTACTTTTTCAGGTTTTGCTCTAATTAGGTTGAACCATATGAGCTTGCCAGTATTGCCTGTTTTTTTGTCTTGTTTTTTAAATATGTTTTTATTGATTTTAGAGAGAGGAAGGGAGAGGGATAGAGAAATAGAAACATCGACGAGAGAGAAATATCATCGATTGGCTGCCTCCTGCGCATCCCCTACTGGGGATTGAGCCCGAAACCCAGGCATGTGCCCTGACAGGGAATTGAACCGTGACTTCCTGGTTCATCGGTCAATACTCTAACCACTCAGCAAACCAGCTAGGGCTTGCCTGTTTTTTATTTACAAAATAAAAAGAAAGGCCTAGCCGGTTTGGCATGGCCCAAGGACTGAAGGGTCTTGGAATCGATTCCGGCCAAGGGCATGTACATCGGTTGCAGGCTCAATCCCTGGCCCTGGTCAGGATGCATGCAGGAGGCAACCAATCGATGTGTCTCTCTCACATTGATGTTTCTCTTTTTATTTTTTTTTATTTTTTAAAAATATATTTTATTGATTTTTTTTCAGAGAGGAAGGGAGAGGGATAGAGAGTTAGAAACATCAATGAGAGAGAAACATCGATCAGCTGCCTCCTGCACACCCCCCACTGGGGATGTGCCCGCAACCAAGGTACATGCCCTTGACTGGAATCGAACCTGGGACCCCCCAGTCCGCAGGCTGATGCTCTATCCACTAAGCCAAACCGGTCAGGGCCGATGTTTCTCTTTTTAAAAATCAATGGAAAAATATCCTCGGATAAGGATTAACCAAAAATAAATAAATAAAAGAAAGGACATGGCCCTTTCAAGTAGCATCAATGTTGGTTTCTGAGGCATCACACTCTCCTGTTTTCCTACCTTTCTGGCCATTTCTTCCCAGAGTCCCCTCTCTGCTGCCCTGTCAATGTGGTAGCTAAGCTCAGGCTCAAGCTGCTTCTCTCCCCCCACTCCGTACCCCCTCTCTCTCTGGAAGATCTCATCTGGGACCACATCTTTATTTTATTTTTTATTTTGTTAATCCTCACCCGAGCATATTTTTCCACTGACTTTTAGAGAGAGTGAAAAGGAGGGGGAGAGACAGAGAGAAACATCGATGTAGAGAGACATCCATTGGTTGCCTCCCTCATGTGCCCTGATGAGGGCCAGGGATCAAACCGCAACCAGTACGTGC